AGAAGCGGAAACTGCCTAGAGACGCTGCGCTTCTGGGTCCAGGGTCGGCGCGATGATCCCACAGTCTTCATATATATATATATATAGATAGATAGATAGATAGATAGATAGAGAGAGAGAGAGAGAAAGAGAGAGGGGTTTTCCCCCTGGCCCACAGCCCTGGCGAAAGAAAGAGGGAAGGAGAGCGAGGGAGTAGTGAACCTTGTCGCGAGGGGCAGTTTGTAGGTGACAAGAGGGGCAACACTCGGGAACCCGAGGTGAAGCGATGGCTTGTTGTTCTAGAACAGTATCATCACCACATGTGTGTTGTTTGTGCCTGGATCCCGAAGCCCTAGTAGAAGCACAATTTGTCCCACTTGACTTCTCCCGTAAAGTTGTGATATTTGGGGCACGCGAAGTTGTCATGTCAGTTGTGTTTTCGGGACGGAGAAAAATTTTGCACTTCGAACGAGATCGGGGGAGGAGAGCTATGCTTGGGCCCCTACTTAGCATGCTGTTTAAGTCGAGGTGTGTTGCTTCTTGGAGCTCTCCTTTGTCGCTGGAGCGGTAAGCCTAAGTTCTTTCCGCACCACAAAAAGCGGCGCCCTGACGCGCAGAGGAAGGGGCGACCGAGGGAGGGAGGGAGGGAGTTTTTACGGGAAGGCGTCCATGAGCAGCACAAGCTCGATATCAAGGCGACAGCCATGGTGAACACCAAGCGTGGGGAACGACAACAGCAGAAAAATGTATGGCAGGGCGACCAAGGGACCAAGCCAGCGCCTCACCTAGAAGCCACAGACGCCTATGACCAGGTGGTGCGAACTGGGACACCTGCTTCGGCACACCGCCTAGGCGGAGTCCTGAAAACAAGCTGACTAGAATCACTAGAAATTCTTTCCGGTACGATGCAAACCTTTTTGTCCTGAGCCTTCCCTGAGGGAGAGTCGATTGTACAGCTTCTAAAGGTCCTTCTGCAGGTGGGTTGCTTTCCTGGCAGCCTTGCAGCTACGGCAGAGCGAGAGGGAAGCAACATCTTTCTTCACCTTTTAGGGGGGCACCAATTCCATTTCGTCACAACAGAAACGTGTGCTCTGCAGCAGGCAGAGCCTATCCACACAAACTGATGGACGGGGCAGCTCACTGGAGCGGGGGGTTTGGGACTGCCAGCCCCTCAATCAGAAAGCAAAGCAAAGAGAGATAGAACGAGAGTTTATCCGTTTTGCCACGTCTCCGTAAGAGCCCCAGGGACTGGGTGGGCCTGGGTTCCCGGGAGCCTGACCGTCCTCTGCGCCTGAGAGAACAAGAGGGGGCCTTGCAGCTTTGCTGCAATGCCATGCTGCTCGATGTCATGTTCTGTAGACTGGCTTCGATTCTTGATGTTGCCGCTGGAGTTTACTGTGTCAATCAGCTTGCCTTCGTAGTCCTCATGGCCCTCTCGCCGTTGCCTCAGATTGGTTGAACGAAAGCTACATGATCCACAAGCTTGTGCTTTCTGCTCATGCGGTTCACAGATTAAAGAAACATATGGTCCATGGTTGTCACGCGATCACTGAGGCAACAGCGTTGTTTGTTCACCGCGTCCAGTTTTGCGTAGCAATGAGAACGCTTTGCTGCTCACAATATGAGGTGGATATGGATATGAATGATTCGTTCGGTGCACATTTCGATCAGCTAATCGCCAGGGTACGATCGGAGCCTCGCCTTGTATGAATGTTGTACTCGGGTTGGATGAGGACAAGCAGCTTGGCGCTTGTATGCACTTGAAGCACACTTTCAGGAACTACTCCACCACTACGACAGGGATGTCAAAGATGGCGTCAAGGCCGGCACCCAGAGCTTGATCCCGATTCGGGACGAGGCCGGCAGGTTCAGCTGTGGACTCCAGCGCGCAGTGGCTGTGGCCGATCTCACCGAAACCACAAACATCCAATGAGCTGCAATCGTCCACCTTGGAGGGTCAACGGCTTCATCAGACCGAAGTCCTGGCCGAGGTGCCGCCACCCATCAGCGCGAAACCTCAATTTCTACGGCTGTCTCCCAAGAAGCCATGGAGTTCCTCTGAATGGAGACCTGCGCCTTGAGTTGCAGATGATGGGATCCCATGCATGTGCATCCGCACTTGCGGAATTGTTTTCTAGCAATGGAGTTTTTCTTGTGATCAGCCAAGGAGTCTCCCCCTCAGAGCAAGCTTCGGCAGAGATCCACGTTGTCAGAAGACTCCGACTCCAGCGAAGAGCCCCGGCTACGATACAAACGAACGCGGCTTTGCATGTCACTGAATGGTTGACGATGGTGCCACGAAGTTTCATGGTATCACCTCGGATAGGAGCCACAGCGCAAGATCGGAGTGCTTCACCACCGCTTGACTTCCAAGTCAGCCATGTCAGAGAACTCCCAGGTTCCTCTGACTCTGTGTGCCGGGGTCCGGCTGCTGTCTGTAGCATTGTTTAAGTGTTCAGCCTCAGTGTTCCTTGTTGAAGTTGCTGTTTAGGCGACTTTGCCATCCGTGGACTCTCCGAACATGGAGCTTAAAACGCCAAAAGCCAGATTTGCGCAGCTGGAATCGCAATTGCCTCCGCCACCTCCGGAAACCTTTGCTGCATTGGCACGTTCGCAAGAGTCAGCAAAGGGGATAAGACCATAGCTGACCGTCATGAGCGCTTGGCAGTGGGCAAGGAGAACGCAGTGGACACCCCAGTTGTGTCTCCACAGATGCTCCTGACTGCGAGTGTGGGCCGCCGAGAAGTTGTTGTGTCTTGCTAGCTGCTGCATACAAAAATCATGCTTGCAGCAGACGGGGTTCCAGAGGTTGAAGGTTCGGGGATAATTCCTAAGGGCATGAGAGTACAAGCTTTCACCGATAAAGGATCGCATTTACCCCTCCCGATGCAGGGCAATATCTGTCAGATGCAGCTGCCGAACAAGCCCGAGGCCTGGTTCGCCAAGGGCAGTGCATGGTGACGGCACAGCCTTGACGCTAGCTGACGGTGGAAATTTCAGTAGACCTAGAGTTTGCCGGCAGTGGCACGGCAGAAGCGGAACCCGTCACAGGAGGCGCATGACCAGCCAAGCGACACAAGTGCTGATGAGGAATTGCTTGCAGCAGCCTGCAGCAGCCAGAGAGTCTCAGAGTAAGAGCTGACTTGAATCTTGTGCCTGTGCCCTTTTGTCCAGGACGAGAATGGGCAATGCGAGGCAGCGGCCAAGCAGCCTTCCACACCTTCCAGCAGCTCCAGCTCGAGTTCTGCTAGCTTTGCAAGCTCAACGGAGAATGACGATGCTTGGCAATCACTGTGTATTGCTCCCAAATCGTTTCGAAGTGACCGAAGAGCAAAGGCTTCTGGCACTGAAGGAGGCCTCCCGCAAGCACCACTGGTGTGTTTTGAACGGCAGGATGAGACATGCACAGATGCCGCGAAGTCAGACGCATGTTTCTTGGCCAAGGTAAGAAAGTGCTGAAGCGAGCGAGCGAAAGCTCGATTCCATCATTCTTCGACAGGGAAGCCGCCTCCAGTCTGTTGTGGCAGTTTTTGGAGGAGCCTCGGCATCTTCCTCCTGAGGTGTCACGAAGGGTAGGGCATGGTAGGGCCGTCCACGGTCACAATGCGGCATTATGAACAGATCTCATCGGAATGCAGTTTCATGCACACTTTAGCAAAGAAGGCGGCTGCGTGACCTCCTGCAAGTTTCAATCAGAGAGACGGTTCTCAAGGCGAATACTTGCGACTGCTGTCTGATCGACCTGTCTGCTTTGGGGTGTGGGCTTCCGGTGACGGCTTTGCTAATCGTAGCCTTTTCGGAATTAGTTGTGAAGCTTGTGCGGATCAGCCCTCCTTGCTTGTGCTGTTTTCTGGGCACTGCTCAGATACTACGACGACGACGACGACTACTACTACTACCACCACTACCACTCATTACCAGTAGCACTACCACTGCAACTGGCACTACCCTGCTACTAGGACGACGACCACGACGGCTACTGCTACTGCTCGTGATCTGCTACCACGACCAAATACTAGAGTGATAGTACTGCTACTGTTACTGCGACGGCGAAATATGAGAATAACAATGACATCAACAGGTAAGAGCAGCAGAACGAAAACGAAAAACAAATAGGGAGTCCTGCTTGGTGGTGATTGTCTTTTCAAGGACCCTGACTCGAGTGCAGCAGCATTTTATTTTGCGACAGCTTGGAACTACTTCGTCACCATCTCCATTGTGGTGACTATTCTGCAGGGTGGTGAGAGCCCGATGCTCCCTCCCTCTACCGAAGGGCTCATCCAGATCTGCGTGGAGGCCGCCGAGACATCGAAGCTTTCTCGGGAGCAGAGAGTATCAGTTTAGGGTCAACCCTTCGGTGGCATTCAGTGGCCGAAGAGGGGACAACACGGTCTTTTGCTATCCCATGCAAGAAACCGCGCCCGTGCCATGCCGACCCTTTGAGTGAGAAGGATTCCTTTGGAGATCTGTGAGGTGTGTGACAAGCTCTGAAAGGTTTTGCGCATCGCTGGCAGATGTCCTATAACATACGACACGTGCTTCTGTAGAGACGTCCTCTGTGGTGGTTCGTGCATGGATGATTCGACGGATGCATAGATGCAGGGTTTTTGTTTGAGCAGAGGGAAACTGACGATCAGGGGTCGTTGGCTTTTGAATTTAAACCAGTCGCACAAAACGCGATGCCGTGCCGGTTTGAAAAACGGCCACAAATGGCGGAGTCGTGGCATGTGCACGCCGGAGAAAGTCTGCTTCTCTGTACTACAACTGCAGCGGCAAATCGGGCCATGGAGCTGTTGGATGCAAGGTATCCTGGATCCTGATTTGACAGTTTTCCTTGCGAGTGTGTTAGAGTGCTTCCTGGCTTCAGAGCCCACGTAGGGCAAGTACCCATGAAGACTATTCCGAGCTCAAGCAGGAAACCAAACAGCAAAGGACTGGTCAGCAGAGTCGTGAGGGAAAGGGAGCAAGCAGAGAAGGAGTGAAAGAAAGACAGGACGAACACTGAGCACCTCCAGGAAGGACTAAGATAGAGCCGCGACAGCGACACAGGATTAGTTTCAAGCAGAGGAGAAGCATAGGACGAGGAACGTGGATGAGGAAAGCATGCCGGAACCCGGAGATTCTCAAAGTCTCGTGGTGGTCATGTCCAGGAACACGTGATGTATGCGGCTTTTGCAGTTCAGCTCGAGCGGAAGTGGACAGCTACCTCCCAGAAGCAAGAATAAAAGGGTCAAGCACGAAAAGGATGCAGAAGATGGAAACATGTGTCAAGAGCAGAACAGAAGGTGAAACAAACGAAGCACAGAATAACAGGCAAGAAGATTAAGGAGCAAAGGTAATGGCCGAAGTCAGAGGACAATTCAGTAGCGTTCAGTCGAAGGGTGATCAGTGATTCCCAGGGAACCGAAGCGAGCCCACCGTTTATGCCGGTGTTTCCCAGAAATCGTTTGTTTTCGCGAAGTGGTACAGTGATAAAATCCGAGTAATCAGTTTTCGCTAGCTGGCTTAGTCTAGGAACGACTTGCACTAGCCGGCACGGGAAACCACGTACCATGTTTTGCAGAAATACACCACATGGGCCTGGTACCCACTCGTTGTGGCTTGGTAAAGGACACAGTGCCGTGCAGCTATTATTGGAACAATGAAAGCCAGATGACATGGACAGAACCAGAATGAGGCAGAACACAACAGCTGAACAACTACTGATTAGATGCCTTGCATTTACTTTGCGGATTCTCTGCCGAGGCGAAAGGGTTAGGTCCGTTTGGGGGTGGGTACGTGTGGTTTAGCACGACAGCCCAGCACCCGGCTCCAAACATGCGAAGGCGGCCCTTCTGCTGGAGTTTCTGGCGCACATGTATGCCAGCACAAGTTGCAAAGCCCGGTCCCCGATTCCTTCATAAAGAGAAGGCTTCACAGAGTGTGGGTGTCAGGTAGTTGCAACCGTCTTGTTTTGACGGCTGTGCTGCTGTGAGGCATTTATTCAGAGCCCTTACAACATCATCGACTTCTGTGCGCTGCTGCCCTTGATAGTCCGATGTATCTCTGGCACTGAAACGCCCACGCTGGCCGAGAATGCAGTGGTTCACTATGTACTGACGTGCTTCGTCCCTTTGATTCGCCTGCTGAAGTTGGTCCGACGCTTCAAGAAGCTACAGCTGCTTCTGCTCCTTGCAATACAAAGAGCTTCAGTACTTGAGAGAAATTGTGCTCTGAGCTGGGCTCATAAATTGAATGGCGTGCTGTCCATGTGCTGTGAGTGTTCAAACGTGAGAATTGCTGCGGTCGTTTGCTGTGCCATCGAGACTGCACCAAGGCATGTTCTGTCATCAGTTGTTGATGCATTGAAGCTCTTGCTTTTCATGGTCAGCATCATTGTGGCATGCTCAGATCGCACTTGTGTCAGGCGCTCTCTGGCTGTTTTTGGATTTCTCGCCTTTCCGCCGTAAAACGCCTGAGGTCTTGGTGTTTGCAACAGCCTTGTACATGGCGGATGACCCGGGCAACATTACTTCGTTGCCCGTGGCCATATGGATGTGCACTGTTACGGTCACCACAGTGGGCTACGGTGCACTCCCCGGTGCAATAGCTTACTTCAGAGCTGCTTCCACTGTTCGGCAAGAGAGCATCAACAGTGCGAGACATTTTTGAGGTGATGTGACTCCATCGACGTGGCCAGCAAGAGCTGTTGCAGGCATGCTGTGTTTCATTAGCGTACTGTTCATGGCGATGCCAATTTCCGTCTCCGGGCAAGCATTTCGTGTAGCAGCAGTGACAGTGTGGCCGTTTCTTTTTCGGCAGACATGTGAGCGAAACATAAACGGATGCGTGAGCCCCTACACTTTGTCAGCCGAGGTTGTCGGCAATGCAATGTCACAAACGTGGGCAGATCGAAATAGAATTCTCCTCGTTACGCGGGCTCGGCAACGACTGAAGAATTGGGGTGTTTCTGCCAGCTGCTTGGCCGAAGACGGCAAGGGCAAAGGGCATCATCCCGTTGGGGGGTCTGGAGGCGTCGTCTGCTGCGCTCAGTACATGCTGTTGGTGCCTGTGCTTGGACGAGCTATGATCAAATCCGGCTATCAGGCACAGCCGGCTTTCCCGGCTTGTGCTGTCCAGGTGTTGGAGGTTTCGCTTCCGAGCCAAGGTGACATGCCGAGGCTTTTCCGAAAATTCGACCAAGATGGTAATGGAGAACTTGGTATGGATGAATTTTGCGACGCTTGCAGGCAAAGAGCAAGAAGACTGCCAAGTTAAGGCTACGAAACTCCCAAAAAAATCACAGGCTCAGAGCAGTGGTGTGCATGGAGCCTTCCGAGGATTTGATTGCGAGAATGAAGGTGGGAATGAAGCCTTCAGAGGTTGGTGCCTCGGGCGTTTTCTTGTTGCGGAGGATCTCATGCGTCTTGCATTATCAGATCATGAGCTGTCCCGCCATCTCCGCAGGCATCGGACCTGTTCGTCGCCTTCGACACAGATGGGTCTGGAGGAATCGACGAAAGAGAATTCATGAAAGCCCTCTTCCCGCTGGACTATCGCAGAATGTACAGAAGAGCTTCTGGCATGACCTTCGGGGCCTGAGCTCCGGAGATCTTGAAGTGAGTTGCAGTACGTGCAACATTTTCAAGAAGCTTGAACTGCGCCGTAAATGTAGCGCAGCCACGTAGAAGCTCGAAGTAGGTGAGTCTGATTTTGTTTGGCTGGTAGTGCGAAGTTTCGAGATAAGTCAGCCTCCCGAGACCTACAATGAAAGCCCTTGGGCGGCTTGTGTCGATGTCCTAACGGATTCAGACTCATCAGCTGGGCATGCAGGGCCAGCGGTTGCCGTCTGCTTGTCCTGATTCCTTGGACGTTGGAGGACCATGGAGTGCTGATGCGGAACGTGGCTCTTTCACCTGGTAGGAGCCACGAGCTTAGTGGTAGTGGTAGTAGTAGAGGAGTAGCAGTATGAGTAGGAGTAGGAGTAGAAGCGAGCAGTAGCAGCAGGGGTGGCAGCAGTAGTCGTATGGCAATAATTGCAAATTGGACACATTGCTGATACTGTTTTGCCGGTCCTCCACCGTCTCCGTCTCACAACAGTGTTTTCAAGCCTGCGAGATGTCGACAGATTATGTGCCCTTGCCTCAGCCAGATTCGTAGCGCGCAGGACGAACGCAAGTAAGCTTGGCACGGCAGCATTGATTTGAGCAGATACCCTGTTGCTGCTTTTCCCAGACTCCCAGACCAGCACGCATGTATTTATGTATGTATGTATGTATGTACGTACGTACGTACGTGTGCACACGTGTATAAATGTGTATATGTATGTATGCATGTATGTATGTATGTATGTACGTACGTATGTATGTATGTCTGTATCTATCTATCTATCTACCTATCTATCTATCTATCTATATATATATATATATGCTTATTTATCTATTTATATTTATTTATTTATATGGTCAGGCGCTCCGCGGCCCCCGCCTACCCCCCCGCCCCCCCATGGTACATGGTCCAGGATGCTCCTCTCTGTGGGGTGGGGTGTGGGGTCCCTCTTCCCCTGGGGTGGTTGTGGGGTTTTAAGCTTTTGAGTTGGGGGTCCAGGGTTCAGGGTTAAAAGGTATAAAGCTTGGAGTCGACAAGGACTTAGGGAGGGTTTGGGATGTAGGTTGTTTATAGATGATAGTTTATGTTCTGCTTTAGGCTTAGAGCCTGCATTTAGGCAAGTTTTAGGGTTGGGTGTAGGGTTAAAGATACAGGGTAAGGTGAATAGAAACAGGAACACACTCTACGTAACCCTGGCCGCCCCAAGCAGCACCCACCCTGACCGCCCACACGCCTCTCCGCACACGCCAGACCTCCTCCACCCCTACCAGACCATACCATGAGGGGGTCGGGAACGTCAGGCGCCTACCTATACCTACCTACCTGCCTACCTGCCTACCTGCCTACCTACCTACCTACCTACCTGCCTACCTGCCTACCTACCTACCTAGCTAGCTAGCTACCTACCTACCTGCCTACCTACCTGGTCGCACGTATGTAAAAGGCCGCGTGGGTTTTCGCAATCAGCATATTATTCGAATGTG